TAAAAGTTTTTCTTTCTATGTAGTAGCTAAAGGAACCAAGCCTGGTATTTACCATGATTGGACAGAAGTAGAACCCTTAGTTAAATATTTTCCTAAATTATGCACGAATGTATATTCCTAACCTTAGTAAAATAATAGGACCCCTTTATAGTAAGACCACACCCACAGGACAAAAATATTTCAATCAGCAAGATATAGATCTGGTTAGAAAAATAAAAGACATTTGTAAAAACCTACCAGACCTACAACTTCCCTTAGAATCTGAATACATAGTTGTAGAAACAGACGCAAGTCAATTAGGATGGGGAACAATATTATTAGCTAAACCCAGTAAATATGACAGTAAAAATAAAGAACGCATTTGTAGATACAGTTCTGGAAAATTTAAAGAAAAAGATACAACTATGACCAGCCTAGATTTTGAAATACTAGGAGTAGTATACGCAATAAATAAATTTAGATTATTTTTGCACAAACCTTTTACAATAAGGACAGATTGTGAAGCCATAGTTAGATTTCATAACAAACTAAACGAGCGTAAATTAAGTACTAGAAGATGGGCAAAATTTTTAGATTGTATAGTAGGACAGGGATATAAAGTAGAATTTGAGCATATTAAAGGAAGCGATAATAAACTAACGGATTGGTTAAGTAGAAAAATTTATTTAGAAAAAGAAGATAACCAGTTTAATTTTTGTGCAGATAATGGAGAACAGCAAGACCATGAACTTTGGAGGATTTTCTCTTCCCATTCATGAAGGCAGAACCAAGTTCAGACCCTTAACAGGGATTGAGCTAGACCCAGTTCAACAGTGCCTTTTAGATAACCTTTGGACCAGCTAAAACCACCCAGCTAAGCGCCTTTTAGCCCTAAACTCTCTCAGCATATATTTTTCAAAAATTCAAAACAAGCTCCTGTCTAAAAGTTTTTCTTTCTATGTAGTAGCTAAAGGAACCAAGCCTGGTATTTACCATGATTGGATAGAAGTAGAACCTTTAGTAAAAAATTTTCCCACACCTCAGTTTAAAGGATTTTATGATTTTGAGTCAGCCAGTACCTATGCCCGAAGACAAATAGGAACCAGTTACTTTATTAGCCAGATAGCTAAAGATTACCTGGACACATTGAGCAAGATGAGATCTACCATCTTTGCTTCCAGTGGCGTTCCAGTTAGCCAGACAAGTGGAAGCAGTAGTACAAGCAGCAATAGTTCTAATCCTCAAATAGATTCCCAGAATCCGCTCCAAATGTGCAGACATTGTGAAGGCCTTTCCAGAAATTTCAAGAAAATTATGGATAAAGGCAAGAAGGTCAGTGAAGAGCTAGACCAGCTCCGAGACGAAGAAAAACAATTGAGAGCAACCATTAGAACCTTAACCAACCAGCTTAAAAAATTAGCTCCAGAAAGAATACCTACCTCCTTACCTAGCCCAGAAATCAGGCAACTCACCAGTGAGGAATTTGACCAATTGAGTGCTAGAATGTATTTCTTCAGGCATTCTATCATTCGATCCCTTTGTGAGAAAAGCCAAGTAATGGAAGACCTAAAACCCTATATTTATACCTTAGCTGGAGATAGCAGAAACGACGAGTTAATCATTATTCAGCAGTTTCTTCAAGATCTCTCTATAGCAAGAGTTGACTGCCCCGGCCTAGCTTACCAATGGACCTATACCTATGAAGATGAAGAGCAACCCTGCCTAGACGAAGAAAAATGCAATAAGAGGTCAGAACATTTTGGTAGATGTCAGTGTAACCTTGACTTCAGCATTTGCCTTTGCCAGATAAATTTAGCTACATTCGAGCCGCTGGAGATAGAAATTAGGGGCGAAACTCGTTATCTAACAGCTCCAAAATTGTTAGATTACGGCTTTGTCTCTAGACTAATTTTCACAGATCCAGATCAGACAGATAACTTCGGACACAAGCTTGCTCATGCAGCACTGTGCGTAATGGAAGAACATCATCCGTATGTGGAAGCTTTAATAAATAGCAAACTACCAGAGTGGAAGGAAATATGGTGCAATCCAGCTAAACACAAAATGTACCTCAGAGGAACCTTCACATTTCCGGGATACCCAGGACTTCTCAATAGGAGACCCTGGCCATGTAGAAGATTTTCACTCAAAGACCAGCTCAATAAATGGAGAAAATTTGCTAGAATCTCTCTCTTAGCCTATAATGGAAATTATGGGCATCTAGTCTGTGAAGATAGACACCAAAAGATACATTGTAATTTAGCCATCCCAGGATATCCATTCAGCAAAGAGACATTTGTCGATGAAAGTCAGTACCCGAACTACCAGCATGGCGTCTCTCATGAATCACCAGTGATGGGAGAAAATGATCAAGAATGGAACGATGAACCACCCATGGGAGATGGGGATGACTTTTATGACCAACTCTCAGCAGCAGATCTTGACGACCTAGCAGACAGAATGTATGGGTAAAAAAAAAAAAAAAACAGACCTAAAAATCCTGTGCAAACTAATAAATTCTTTTCTCCCTTTTTCATTTTATATCCTCTACTCTTTATTCCTATTTTTATCTTTTTATGAAAGGTCGAGGTTGGTAGTAAAAAGTATGGGGTAAAATAAACTATTCCTCCTTTTGAATTCATATCTAGTTCATAACTTCCTAAAATACTTTGTCCAACATCATTAAACCTATCATCATAGAGACATATAAACACTTTAGTTCCTAAATCTTCTCTGGTTAAAGCCTTAACTCCTACCACTACTAATCCTAAATGAGTCAGTTTAAGATGTTCATTTACTGCATATTTATAGCTTTCTCTTTCTATTAAATTTAGCTCTATTTTCTCATCTTCTTGAGTTATGCTAATCATTCGTTCACCATAGTGTTTAAATAAATATTGTTTTTTATGAATCTTACCTAGCTTATACACATATTTAGCTGGAATTAATTCTAACTTTTATACAAAATTAACTCCTACTATAAAATTATTACAAGCTACTATAATATGAAATTTATAACTAAAGTCTCCAAAAATAAAAACTACTCTATTACCATAAGCAAAATGCATAAACTAATTTAAACTGTCCTAAAACCGAACACTGCTCTGATACCAATTTTGGGTGTGTGGGGTCGAGTTAGTGGTTTACCACTATTTTGAAATTGGGCTGAGAATTATCTGGCTAATTCTACAGTTATAGATCTTCAAGCTGTTGTATAGCTATTTTTAAGGCCTCTTGTTTTTCAGTTAGCTGTCTATTTATTTGAGAAATTTTCAAACTGTAATTTTCTAGGGATCTGCCAGAAGCTAATGATAGAAGAAATTGATTTTTTAAACTGTAATTTTCTAGAGATCTGTTAGAAGCTAATGATAAAAGAAACTGATATCTAAATTTTTGATCTTCTAATTCTTGTATTAGATCAATACTAATTTTAATTTTATTCCTAAGGTCTTCGTCTAATGGCATATACTTTTCTTATTTTTTGAAATTTAATTTTTAACGTCTACTTTTAAAGGCATGCAAATTTTAATTTTTTGAAATTCTTATATGGACAATATTTCCTTAATATTTCTACTCGAGTTGTACTCCTTTTATTCTAAAAATTCTTTTCTATGGTAAAAACTATTTTTAAGAAATGTTTGTTTTCATTACATGTACTTCCACCTTGAGACTAAGCCTCGTTCAACATAGTATATTTTTATTTTCCATTTTTTACCTTTCCTTTTCTGCCTACAATTTGCCCTCCAACGCCTAACCACGGCTTACACGGGCTCTTCAGCTAAGGTCACTTAGTAACAAAATAGAAAATTAAAGATACTACGAAGGTTCAAAGCATGTAATATTAATGAGCAAACAAGCATTCCATAAACTTAGTTTTTCCAAAAAGAAAATAAATCTTTAGAATAAAAGAGTTACCCTTTCGAAATATTTAAGGAAAAAGAGAAACTACTCACACTTCATATTAATAAGAAATATACTTACAGAGATTATATTACAGACTCTGAAACTCTGAAAAACTTAATACACTTAGAGGTTTTTTGAGAGGGGTTGGAAAATTTACAACGCAGAGTGAAGTGGTGTTTTTTCATTCTGCTTCATCCGTTGGCATGTAAGCCAATTTATACACAAAGTTGATATATACAATCCAAAAAACAATACGTCAAATGTTTTGGCTAAAAACAAAAGCCTAAAAGGCTATAAACAAAAAGTCTAAAAGGCTAAGGCTATTAACTCTAGTCTAACTCTAATCTTGACTCTAGACTAATAATATCTATGACTCTAGACTAATAATATCTATGCCATAAATGCATAGATTTGGACGTGAGTTACTATTAAGGATAAAATTTTATCAATAAAAGATTAGGATAATGATATCGGGTACTGCTTTGGGCCCATCGCATATCATTCAATCCTTATTTTTTGACAAAATTCTGACACTATAAGTTATTACAGGACACGTATAAGGATTTTCACAGCTTTTCTTTAATAAAGCAAGATCAGAAATATCTACTTTATTAAAGTAGTGAGTGAAGGAAAATCCTTATCACTGATAGACTCAAATAATTACAGACACAAAAACTTTGCAAAATCTTTTTTGTTTTTTCTTTGACGTGCATTTTTCTGATATCTGAGGAGAATCCTTATCTTCTATGGACTTTGTCTTCTTTTGCTGGAGCGCCAATTATTAATGTCGATCCTTGGATTAATAATAATATCAAAACTAGTATTAGTACACTAATATATATACTAAATGGTGTATATAGCAGTATATATTTACACAACATACAAACAATCTTTATTAAAGCATTATCAATCCAGATTATCAAAATTATTTTTATCGAATCAATTTCTAGTTAGTGAAAAAAATTGACAAAAATCTATTGATTCATTCTAGTTTGATCAGTTAAATTGGTTGATTTGATTTTTAAACACCCCTAATTACAATTGGGATACGATAAATTTTTATTTTTTTGCTAATTTTGTAGTATTCATTTAAAAAAAAAAAAAGTTCTTGATCGTAGGACGACGTCGTTGTATTGTTCTCATCAACTGTTGAAAACGGCAGTGTTGCAGTGGACGTTCGATTCAATGGAAGGAAGCAAGAAGGGCTACGCATGGGCGATCTCTGCTGGATTGAACGCCGCTCTGGCCGCCATTTCTGCTAAACTCTTCGCATCTCAGGTATATATATATATAGATATATATTTGTTTAGTTTTAAATTCTGATCTAATTCAATTGAAATCTTTCAATCAGATTAGAAACCCTAGCTATTGCCTGTGTGTATTCCCATGAACCTGACATGGATACTTGTAAATTCATTTCATTTTGATCACATTACATCATTAGACTGTGTTTGGATTAAGTATTAGAAGAGGATTTGCGAAAGGATAGAAAAAAAACTAAATTTTGTCTCTTCTTTTTTCCTTTCCCTCCCCAAATCTCATCTCAAATCCTTCATCCGAATGGGAAAGAATGGTGATTCCATTCCAAGTTGTTTGCTAATTTGCTCGAGTAGAAATGATAGGAGAATGGAAGGGAATGATTTAAATAATTTTACATTTATGGCCCATATATTGTAAGATAAATAAATGAACCTAAGGATCAAATAAATTATTTTGCATATTAAACGAGGGAGGGAGCTTTTCCTTCCTCCTTTCCTCCCACTTTTGGGCTGATTGCAAATCCGTGGCCACCGTGGAAACACCCTCCCTCCCTCTTTCCCAATCTGACGGACGAATAACGAATTAGAGGTTTCATGGCAAATCCGGTTTTTATCTCATATCCCCCCCCCTCCCCCCTCACTTCCGTCTCTGTCTTTCCTTCCTACCAAAAATGAAAAGCCAAGGCAGCATGCTCTTGTAGAAATATTAAGGAGGGATTGTAAAAATCCCCCAAGTTCAATTAATTTTGAGAATCAATGAAGAGGGTTGTAGTACATAATTTAAAGGAAATCACTTGGCAACCACTTTTTGTGAAATATTAGGATCGCCACAAATCATCAAAATTTAAACTAACTTCTTTTTTAAGTCAGTATGTTTGTTGTTTAGAGGTAAATTTGTTTTTGCCCTTTCGTAGTTTTACCCTCTATTTTAGTCCTTGAGACTCATAACTGCTGACTATTGTAGTTATCTATGTACAAACATGCACAAAGGATTTTCAGTTAATAATAATACCGGTAAACTGGCTCAACCTTAACATCGTTGCTGCATTAATATCATTTATTTTGTGATCAGAAAGGGCATGTGTATTCACACCTACACTCTCTAAAATAATTAAGTAGAAGCAAATAATATTATCACCACTATTCCATTACATCACAACTGAACCTCAGAGATGATTTCTGTTGGCTCCAATCAACTAGTGTTGGATGGAAAGTTGTAGACTCAAAACCAACCTTGTATATCTAACTCACTGTGACAGGGTTCAGTGAAGGAATAAACAAGCAAACAAATGAGACTTGTCTCAAATTAGTTATCACTATTCACATCCAGCCAGCTTGTGCAAACAAACGTGGCCCATGCGTACCCCGACAGCTTGTGCATTTCAATAATACTGGTTTTAGTTATAGATCTCTTTGTTTGATTTAAACTGCTCGACACATTTTAAGTCGTGTAATCCTACCTTATCATATCATAATTTGAGGAATGTGTATCATGTTCCAATTCCTGTTCCACAAATCCTGAGGATCCACGTTACACAAAACATTATGCTTGAGGTTAAAGAAAAATAGAAGACCAAAACTCTGCTACATTTGTAACCAAGTTGATGTGTGAGTCCTTATTCAGAGCAATATTAGGTGAAAAATCCTGTTGATTTTGTCTTGTTATTCAAAAAATCTTGATGAACTTATTATTTATCAAAAAAGAAACAAAAGAAGAAAAAAGAATCTTGAACATATGGTTTTTCATGAGTATGTATGTACATATGTTTGTAGGCATGTCTTTTATTTATTTATTTATCTCAAATTATTATTGTATGATAAAGACTTTTAAAAGCAACATCACTTAGTAAAATATACGCAACCACAAAAGAGTCATACCTAAACTTGTATTGTATACTTTGGTTTGAGGAGTACCACAAAAGATAAACAAATAAATAAAATAAAATAATCTAAGTTAGTATACATGTCAAAACTAATTACCAAATTTCTCTCATCTCAACAGATCGTTAGATATGGTTTGGTCATATTTTTCAACGTGATAATGTGGGGATGTTACGTTAATAGCCTGAAAGCTCTCTCATCTCTACAAGCTACGGTGACGAATTTTGCTACCAACTTTCTTTCTTCGGGTCTGGCTGGATTCTTCCTCTTTGAGGAATCTCTATCATTTCAGGTAATCCCACAAAACTCAAACAAAAGACTTCAGAGCCTTTTACTTTTAATTATTGAAAATCTTTTGTTTTGAGAACTCATGTAATGAATCCTATCAATTCCCTAGACAGCTGATTAAAACAATGTTTGTCCACTTTAGTTTTTCCACATATTGGATGTTTTGCCAGGCAAAAAAGCCTCTAAAATGGGTAAACAGAACTTCTTGGCACTACTACTTGTCAAAAAATGTTGATTAAATGTTTGCCTGTACAGGACAAGTACACTGACTGTGATGCTTTACTTCAATGTCTAACTGACATGGGATTGAGAAGCAAAAGAAAATCAATGAGAGTAGTGCATAAATATGTAAGCAAATTAGTTAAAACTGCTTAGGAAATGAAATGAGCGAACTAACAGACCTTCTATTATTGATTTTAAAATTTTGAAATTATTGAACTGCTGAGGCATCCCATCACAATCCAAATCCATATGCATAGGATCTAGGCACATGACTTTTATATGCTGCACTACAACCACATGCCTATATTCTGTGTATGAATTTGGGTTGTGAGATACCCTACTAAGATAAACAAATTAGCCCCATGTTTCCATTTAATGGGTTACTGGCATGAGGCAGCATGTTTATGGTGCCCTCCTTATTTCTGGTTATATCTTTCTAATATATATTTCACATCCTGTGTTCCTGCATATCTTCTTTGAATCTTTCTAAATTCCACCTGATTATTTCCCTACCAGTTTATTCAAGTCACTGATCTTTCAAGCTAGCATTTGAATCAAACTTACAAAACTGGTTCTACTGCAAAAGAACATCTTGACATTTCTGGTGCCATGTGCGGCATATAATCCCTTAAGTGGGCCATTGTATAGTGGTCTGTCCTGTATTATTAAACATCCAAGTATATAATGTGCGAAGCATCCTGCAGGTCGTACTTTATTTTTTAATTGAATTGCCTAGATATTGAGCAGTTGGGTATGTTGTATGCTAAGCATGCTCGTACAAGAAAAAAAAAAAAAAAAAACACTTGCTCATTTACAAACACATGTTGGGCTGGAAAGTCTAGATGCCAGATGGGAGTCTGTTGCAGTTTGTCCAAGTCCTGCCTCATTGTGCAGCCTTAATTTCCATTTACCTGCTAGCATTTACTTCTAACTGCTTGCCTATCTTCTTCTTCTTCCTTTTTTCTTTTTTTGGAACGGAAAGAGAGAACATTGATTTGCACTTTTTTTATGTTACATTTATCCTGTGTTTAAGATAGTATCAGGATTGTGATAATATTCAAGTAGTTCTAGTTAGGTATCAATCTAACAGTTGCATTTCTGATGCAAGTTTGCTCTCTCAGTGGTTTGCAGGTGCCGTGCTTATTGTAATTGGCGTATTAGTACTCAGTAAGTCAAGTATAGAGGAGAAAACACACTCGGATTAGATGTATGTTTCAATGGATCCACACTTCTCATTAATCGCATTTGACCTATCATATAAATTTGGCCGTTTTTTATGTTCATCTAAGCATGTTGAGTTCAAGGATGATTGACTTTGACATTACTTCGGTGACATTACTTCATTCACGCAGGGACATATCTCAGAAGGCTGACTTGATCAATTAGTCTTCTGCAGATAGTGAAACAGGACCAATTGGTTGTAAAATGAATGGGGGAGAGGAGGGAGGTGGGTTGAGGAAAAAGTGGATGAACTGTATGTTGCATACACTGCTTTGTTGTAAATTTTTTGGTATGAACTTTTTTTTTAACCTATTTTGTAAACCATTGGAAAAGTAGAACAAGGAAATAGTTTCATATATATGTTCTCTTGTTGGGTCAGTGTGTGAATGAATGAGGGAGAGGTGGTTCCATGGAAAAATTTTCTTTTTCTTCTTCTTTCCAATGGACAACACAGAATCAGGATACATTTTTGGGAAGAGGATTGAGCTAAAATAGCTCACTAAAAAACAAAATAGATTAAAAATAATCAATAAAACAAAATGTCACATCTAATATATAATTTTTTTATTTTTATTTTTTCACTTATTAAATAAAGTACAAAAAAAGGTCAACTAATTTTTCAAGCACGAATATTTTAACTAAGTTAAAATAATTAAAAAGTTAAATAGTCAACTTTCTAAATAAGGTCAATATTAAAAAAAATAAAAAATAAAAACAGAGTTTTAATTACTAAACTTGTGGTGTATGTTTTGTGTCGGGAGAGTTGAGAAGGGATTTCATCATTTTTGTTTTTTGTTTTGTTTTTAACCCCACTATGAGCGTGGACGTGTAAATGCCCAATCACCCATGAACTCGATTTGAAGGCATCCAATAATTTTTGTTACCTCTGATTTCGCTGGAAATCTTTTGTTTATGTCAAATGTATGAAATGGGTATTGCAGGGTTCATTTGTCATAACAACCCGAAATTCTACCTCAAGGTTTTGTTTATAACTATTATTACAAATATTATGAAATTATTTTATTTTAAAAAAATACCTTTAAATTTTTATTTTTATTTCTTTTGAAAGAAAATAAAATGGTATAAAAATAATGATTATTTTTTATTTTTAAAAATACAAAAAATGAAAATATTGAAAATGAAAACGGAAGGATCCCAACTTTGGTTGAGTGCATGCCATCTTCCAATATTTTACAAATGTGAAGTTTGGCAATTGTCTTTAGAATTTTAAAAAATTGATATGTTTAGTAAGTTTGGTAAGCTTTTTGAATTTTTTTTTTTTTTGGACTTATTTACTCAAAATTAACTTTAACTCATTTTGGCCGTAACTCAAGACTTTATGTCAACTCTTGCATACAAGGAGGAGTGTTTGCCAACTCTTACATGGGAGGAGTAGTGTTATGAGAATATGATGTGTCACGTCATGTACTCGTTAAATAATTGGAGATATATAACTATTTTATGGAAGAATATCAAATGAATAATAAATTAATTGATTAATCATGTGCGATTCTATTTAGAAAAAAAAATAAGAAATCAATCATTACTAAAAACAAAAATGATGGTAACTTAAAACTGAAAACCAATGTCCAACTAAACCAAAATTACTCAAATCTAAAATAAATAAATAAAAGTTAAAAAAATTACTATATGATTTGTACGGGGAGTAAATATTCCGGCAAGCTCGTACTCCTTTCTTCCGAGCTCCGTTTATGTCCGATCACATGCGCGCAAACAATGGTGAGCTACCCGACGGTGTGTGGCCGGAAAAACCCTTCGACGATCAAGTTAGCACACACCTTGAGATAGAGAGAGAGAGAGATGGAGGTGTTCGAATGTAAGAAATTCCTTACAAAGTGTTCATCCGTCGCGTATGGGGGGCTCAGACATGCTTATATACCCTCTGTGCCCCGTATCTACTCCCAGTCGTCTCCTTACACGTGGCTCCGCTATCCCATCTGTCAGCATAAACCTTGCTGAACATCACCTAATCTCAACTGCCTGACTTCACAGCTGGAGCTCGGCAGCCAAGCTGCTCTACCACGGCCATGCTATGCTTCATACCCAAGCACCTCACTAGATAAACACAAAAAGGACCGAGCTAGGCGGCATCTCGGCAGAGCCTAGCCCGGGCACCTCCTTTGGTCGGCCTCCCTGCCGATCAAACGGTCTCCTCGGTTGACCACGCCTTTCCGGGCGCCGGTCACTCAGCTTGTCTGGCTTCAGCTATCCCCTTGCCGAGCACTACCTTACTGAGCTTCTTCTCGGTCCGGGGCAGCTCACACTTGGCCCAAGTTTTGCCCGGCCCAAGTTCTAGCAGCCCATCTCTGGGCGGATAGTCGATCATCTCGGCCCATGCATCGTTGGGCTCTCAACCTGTTCGACCTTTGCCTCGGCCCAACTCCAGGTCACAAATCACCCTCTCAATTGCCCCTTAATTCCGTCCGCGAAAGCGTGACTGGGATTACTCACTTCGACCGAGGTAGCATTTCTCCAGTCTTCAAGATGCCAAACCTTGACCGGGCTAATTAACATAACTGTCTGCAAACTTGCCCGGTCATACTCCTCGGCTGACATCCTTTTCTTCGAAAGTAGCTTGGTTGGTTCTCCGACTCTTCAACCCGTCGTTTCAGTCTTGACGTTGCCATGAATGGGGACACGTGGCGGGCTCCCATTGGTCATCGAGAAGCCAACCCGCCGTTTTTGCCAGAATTTGAATTTGGGCGGCCTCTCGCTGGTCTATACATACAGGACCTCCAAACTTCATCTCCTCCTACTGCTATTCCGTCTCACAACTCCAGAGCTCTAGCAACCTTGCCTTGGACTCGTCTGCCATTCTTCGTGTTCGAGGGACTCGACCCTGCCCTTCACTGGTGAGTCCTTATACCTCTATTTTGTTGCTATTTTCTTTCATATTATACACATTAGGGCACAAAAACGTAGCTCTTAGGGCATAGGCCATAGAATCCGTCCCAAACCTCCCACTGTTCTTGGTGTTCTTCTTCTTCCTAAAGAACACTGAAGAACTGGAGTGAACCGGGCTCCTGGTCTTCTTTTGATCCAAAAAACCAATCTGACCGAGCAAATAACATGTTTGTCTCAACCCCAGCAAAAACCGAGATAACAAAAGGACTTGGTCGCTCAACCGGGCTAACATCTGGTCTGCTTGGGCGACCAGGCTCCTTAGATAGAATAGACAACCGAGGTGGTTTAGCACTCTTAATGACCGAGCTAAAATCTAGCTCCTTTTGCGCGACCGCGCTCACACTTAACACTTGCCATCCTTTTCCTGCAGAGTCCAAGGGGACCACTGTCATTCCTGAGGCTCTCAGGACCGAGCAGCATCCAATAACCAGTGCCAAACCCCTCAGCCGGGATACACTAAGCCGGCCACAAATGGGGAAATTCCGCTTCCTAGTGGATACTCCGGCCGCGCTAGCTGCTTTCAGAGAGGATTATGGCATCCCGACCGATGTTCATCTCAAACTGGCTGAAGAGGAGACCACACCCTGGGGCAGACTTGATCAATGCCCCTTCACCGTGCTCTCAATTGTCGAAGGGGGCCTCCGTTTCCCGCTCAACCCTCTTATAACCGAGTTCCTTCGCCGTACCGGGCTGGCACCCACACAAGTGTCCACCAATACCTATAAAATTATTAACGGTGTTCACGAATTGAACAATTGGCTAGGCACCAACTTAGGTCTAGCCGAGATATTGAGGCAATACACAATGGGCCACACCGGCGACGGCCTAGCATATTACTTGAAGATAAGACCACCGGCACCCCGGATAAAGATCTTCACGATGATGATTTTTTCTGGGTGTCGGGCAATTACGAAACAGCCGAGGTGCCGGGCTGGTTTATAAACAAGGACTTCGGTTCTTCATGTAAGCCACTCAAACTTGCTCGGTTAGCTTAACTCTTTACTTTGTAACTAACCGGTTTTCCTGTTTCTTTTGCAGCAATCCAAGCCTTGCAAGCCAACTATCAATTTCCCAACGTCGAAGCAATTCGGACCGTGCTTCGGTATCCTCACCGAGATTGCAACGATTTACTCGGCTACACACCGACCTACAGGTATTCTGCTCCGCGCCGGAGTAGAGTAACTGACTTCCTTCGTGCTCCTTCACCGCCTCCAGATCCTACTCTGCCAGACGTTCCCCTCATTCGCCTGACCGAGGAACAAGAAATGGCCAAGCGCAGCAGGATCAAGAACCTGCTCACCGCCACATCCGTCGAGATGCCGAGCGTCGTAATTCGCTCGCCAGCCGTCGGTCAATCCAGTGGCGTTGTGGTCGCCCTTGCCTCTCAATCTGCCGGGCAATCCAGCCGAGAACCCTCTGCACGACGTGCCGGTAAAAGAGCTCGGGCAGACCCATCCGCCGAGCTAGTCGCCGAGCTTACCACCGAGCATCCAGCTGACACCCCCGCCCCAGTGCCGGCGTGGCGTCCACAGTTGAAGCACCGAGGTCAAGACATCTCGGCAACGGCTTCCATCAAGGCTGACAAAGAGCATCTGCTCGCCTTCGATCTGTCCAAAGCCCTGTTGCTACCGAGCGACGTGGTCGGCAGCGACCACGTCCCCGACACCTGGTTAGTCAAATCGTCAGTGAAGTCTATGGCCAGGGTAAGTCGATGTTCCTCTGAAAATTTCACAAGTGTTTGCTCGGTTCCCTTTCTGCTCGGTTCCCTTTCTAATCAACTTTGCTTTTTTGCAGGCCATTCAAAAACAACACCTGGTTTTGGAGCGCATCCACAGGCTTCGGCAAAAAGCCAACGATACAGCCAGCTAGGTCGAGAGCCTTCAAGCCGAGCTCGGCCGGGCTAAGGCTTCCCTCGAGATGGCCAACGCCGATAATAACAGACTGCTTGGTCAGCTGGATGCGGCCGAGAAAAAACGGGATGAGCTCCAGACCGAGGTGGACACCCTGAAAAAGTCGAAGAAGAAAGCTTGTCGGGCTGCCAACAACGCCGGTTTTAACGAGGTCGAGGAGAGCTACAAGAAGCAAGTCTTTGCAACGCAAGACATCTACTTCAAGGCTGGCTGGAAGTCCGCCTGCGAACACCTCGGCCAGGGCTCTGACACCGACGTATTTTCCAACCTTCCTCCAGCTTCGCTACCGGTCTACCTCGTGCCTTATGCAAACGACGTTTTCAGCGCTTTGCAAGCTGAGGCCGAGGAAGGACTTGAAGAAGGAGATGGTGAGACAGATTCTGAGGCAGAAGAGGCCGAGGTGCAAGAGCAGCCCGGCAATGAGGAGCCCGGTGCCCAAGACACAAATCCAACCATTAACCTTGATGCCGGCGAGGACGAATTCACCAATCTATCCCCCTTAGTTTAGTTTTCTTTTTTGTATTTTTGCTTTCAACGCTTCTGATGTAACCGGGCTC